AGGTTAGTAACAAGTCGGGTTAAATTTGGATTTTGACGGATAAAAATGAGTTTGGGTCAATTTCAGTTCAAGTCGGGTTCGGTGCAAATGAATTAAATTAGCCGTTGTAAACTGGTAAATCAGTGTAAGTTGTAATTAAACCGGTAAATTGGCCGTTTAAAAGCAAATTGGATGGTTCCATACACCCAGTTGGACTCCCAGAGGTTATTAGGGACCATGGTGAACATTTTGGAAATTTTTATTTACGCGCGAAAAAAGTCAAAAATTCCAAAATTGAAGGCTAATATCCATGCTTTTTGGGAAATTTTTGAGGTTTTAAGGCCCGGTGTCGAAAAGTCTTGAATTTCTATGAGATACATATCTAGGTCATATAATGCCGTTTGGAACCATATATGATCATTATTTGTTGTCATAAATGTTCGTGGTAGGCTTGAATTAATGAAATCGGTGCAAGTTGTAAACTGGTAAATTGGTCGTTTAAAGGCAAATTGGATGGTTCCAGCCACTCTATTAGAATCCCGGAGAGTATAAGGGACCATAGTAAATATTTCTGCAATTTTTATTTACGGGCAAAAAAAATAAAAAAAAAACTCAAAATTGAAGACTAATATCCACGCTTTTTGAGAAATTTTGGAGGTTTCAGGGCCCGGTGTAAAAAAGTATTCATATTTTAGGGGATACATCTCGGGGTCATATAATGCCTTTTGGAACCATATGTGATCATTATATATTGTCATAAATGTTTGTATTAGGCTTGAGTTAATGAAATCCGTGCACGCAAGTTGTAAACCGGTAATTAAATTGGTCGTTTAAAGGCAAATTGGATGGTTGCACCAACCCAATTGGACTCCTGGAGGGTATTAGGGACCATGGTAAACATTTCAACTATTTTTATTTTCGGGCGAAAAAAAGTCCAAAAATTCCAAATTCGAAATATCCACGCTTTTTAAGAAATTTTGGTGGTTTCAAGGCCCGGTGTCGAAAAGTCTTCAAGTTCTATGGGATACATATCGGGCTCATATAATGCCGTTTGGAACCATATATGATCATTATTTGTTGTCATAAATGTTCGTGGTAGACTTGAATTAATGAAATCGTTGCAAGTTGTAAATTGGTTGTTTAAAGGCAAATTAGATGGTTCCACCCACTCAATTGGACTCTCGGAGATTATAAGGGACCATGGTAAATATTTCGGCAATTTTTATTTACGGGCGAAAAAAAAATAAAAAAAAAAACTCAAAATTGAAGACTAATATCCACTCTTTTTGAGAAATTTTGGAGGTTACAGGGCCGGTGTAGAAAAGTATTCATATTTTAGGGGATACATCTCGGGGTCATATAATGCGTTTTGGAACCATATGTGATCGTTATATGTTGACATAAATGTTTGTAGTAGGCTTGAGTTAATGAAATTCTTCCACGCAAGTTGTAAACCGGTAATTAAATTGGTCGTTTAAAGACAAATTGGATGGTTGCACCAACCCAATTGGACTCCCGGAGGTTATTAGGGACCATGGTAAACATTTCAGCAATTTTTATTTCTAGGCGAAAAAAAGTTAAAAAATTCCAAAATTGAAGGCTATTGCTAATATCCACGCTTTTTGAGAAATTTTGGTGGTTTCAAGGTCCGGTGTCGAAAAGTCTTAAAGTTCTATGGGATACATATCGGGATCATATAATGTCGTTTGGAACCATATATGATCATTATTTGTTGTCATAAACGTTCGTGGTAGGCTTGAATTAATGAAATCGGTGCAAGTTGTAAACTGGTAAATTGGTCGATTAAAGGCTAATTGGATGGTTCCACCCACTCAATTGAACTCCCGGAGAGTATAAGGGACCATGGTAAATATTTCGGCAATTTTTATTTACAGGCGAAAATAAAAAAATAAAAAAAAACTCAAAATTGAAGACTAATATCCACGTTTTTTGAGAAATTTTGGAGGTTTCAGGGCCCGGTGTAGAAAAGTATATTCATATTTTAGGGGGTATATCTCGGGGTCATATAATACCTTTTTGAACCATATGTGATCGTTATATGTGACGGTCAAAGAGTAACACTTAAAATAACACTGAGGTAGTGTCGACAAGCATAATAAAAAAAAACAGGTCAGTACTCCGACTTTACTTTACGGAGTACAGTAATACTGTAGCTAAAAAAAAAGTTGGGTTGCCAGGGAATAGCGTATTGCTTACTCCAACTTTGGGCCATCTGAAATTTCGAACGTAAAACCAATATACATAATACGGGCCTCAAACTAAGTTGATGTACAGAATATCTTTGTATGGGCTAGCCCACAAGCTTCATGATGATTTTTTTCTTTTTTTTTTTTTTTTTTTTTTGAGTCAAAGTTGAATTTTTTTGTTCAAAATTCATTTTTAACGAGATTAAGCACGATATCCTGTATTTGTCACAATGTCTACTTTTATAATATTTCCTCTGTTTCCTAAATATTGTAAATATTGCAACATGGGGATGGAACAAGAATTTTAAGAAGATGAGAAAGATAAAAAGGAATAAAGATAGAGACTCATGTGTTGAGGTGAAAGAAAGAGAGAAATCATGTGCAAATAGTGAAATATTGTATGGAGTAATATTTAAAAACTTCATAAGATGGTAATTGTTGAAATATTTGTGGAGAGGACGTGTAATTTTTTTAAATAATATTTAATTAAATATATTAATGGTTAAATTTGTACATCAGCAAATATATACGCAAACTCAAGTGATGCATTTAAAAATACTCGTATGGAGGAAGCAATTTTTTTTTTCCAAAGTGCGACAAATAGTCTTTACTCACATGTATCATGCATATTATATCTCTAACAATATTTGATTGAAATCTAATTTACTAGCCAATTTCTCGGACTTATCGGCCAACAATGGCAGACCAGAAATTCAAACAATAATTTTAATTGATGTGGCAATGGTAATAAGTTATACAGAATTGTTTAAGACATCATCGCAAACTGATCAAGGTTACCATTTAAGACTCGTAAATTGTACTTGTCTAATTGAAGAAAACAGTTCATAAATGTATCACAATATTTAAATTTAAATACTAAGTATGGGTTGTGAATAAAAGTAAAAGTAAACAAAAATTGGGCATATTTTATAAAATTAAAGTTAGAATAATCCAATAAACATAGTCTAGATTAGAAAATAATGTCAGTCAAAATCACACAACTAGATATACTGCATGCTTATTAGTAATGCATTTATTCGTCAAATTTAGACGGGTTAGATTTTCTAATTAACGTACGTAATTATCTCACTTGGACTTCTTTGTCGACAATGAATCTATATTTGCGTACGTTAATAAATTCTATGAAGTCCTTATTTTTTAATTAAAAGTACAATTATTATCTTACAAAGTTGATGGGATTATGTACTTAGTCATATTATTAAAAACTTGTTTGACAATAATATGTTAAATCGTATGACTTAGAAAATTTATTTAATATTGTACACCTTTTAATCACCTTGAATAATAATGGTTTCAAAAAAGTACAAAGTATTAATATAAACAAAAATTATTTTTATATACTCGTGACTTCTTACTTCCGGCCTCTCTCCGCCATTGACTGAGATTAGGATTTGTTCAATTCATGTCATAATCTACTTTTATATCATTTATTAGAATCTGAAAAAAAAAAAAATGATACTCTCTCCAATCTGTCAATTTAACCAAAACAATAATAATGATGTATTGCTAATCAGTAGCTAACACCTTCGTAGATTAAGCAAGGCAAGGCAACGCTAGGACAAGTCAAGGTATTGTAACAAGACCAAGCCAAGGCAATACATTTAAGACACTATAAAGAAGGGTAGGCCAAACATGAATATGACATGGTTTTGAGCACCAAGTAGGCCTCCCGGGATTTTTTTGACAACACCTGAAGAAATTTGGTGCATAATCTTATCGGGTTCAAAAGTATGTGCTCTTCACTGGCCGATTTTAATGATTAATACACAAAATCAAACTGTTTAAAGAAATAAATTTTGAGACCCGGTGTATAAAACTCAAAGGATAGAATATTAATGATGTTTGAAATCATATATGACCCCTGCTAGCTAGTTAATCACATAAAGGCTTATGGTGGCCTTTGGTTAATTAATAAAGAGAAACATATACATAAATGACTAACTTGACAGTTTAAAGACAAAGTGGTTAGTTGATTCCAACCACATAAGTGACCTCCCAAGATGTTATGGGATATATGGAAAGTACCTCAACCTATTTCCTTTCCGAGTTCAAAAAAGTCAAAAATCGTCTAAAACTAAAGGTTATATTTAACTTTTTCAAACCAATTTAAATTAGGAAAATTTTCATAAAATTAGAATTAACATGTGGGGCTTTCTCTGAAGTCATATAAGCTGGTTTGAAGCCATAACAAGCCTACTAATCTGTTTATATAGGATCGAGATCGATGAGTTGGACTCAATTATGTGAGTATGGTATTACGGAACAATTATATGTTGCATTGATATTGAAAAGTTTCAAAAGATAATGGTTTCAATCACCAACTTGACATCCCAGGTTTCTTATAATGATATCAGGATTGAGCTCTCAATTATACCCAATATTACTCACCCATTCAATCATTACTTACCATGACATACCATTGTATTGTTGATTCATGCATGTATTACTTGGGTTGCTTATATTATATTATTATTATATTATATTGTTGTTTAATTTATTGTTACTCAATACCAATACTTTGTTAAAATAGTTTTGTAATTGTGACTTATTATATGCATGCCCTCAATCTTTAGTACCCAACTTATCCAAGATCTCATTAACATAAGTTGAAATAATTGTGGCTAGATATGCCTAATTGCCTATATAGTTTACAGCTCATTATCATAGCTAACAACAAAGTCCATACACGATGATCTCACTTTGATTTTTTTTTTTTTCAAAATAAATTAAAGTTCATGCATTTTGACCATATAATAAACATTTTCATTAACTTATTTTCCAGCAAGTACTATAGTCAAAAGTGGCTCCAAGTCTGCGCTTTTATTTACAAGAATTTCTAATAACGTTTACTACACATGCATAAATAACATGAATGATAAATGGTCTGGGAAAAAAATAGTTATGACTGATCATTAATAGTTGGACTTGACTATTATTTCATTGTAAACTTATATAGTACGGAGTAATACAGAGTTATATATTTTTAATTAATTATACAATTAATTAAAGAAGAAAGGATTAAAAAAAATAAAAAATTGCACAACGAAAGGGTAAAAAAATGAAAAATCTAGAATTATGAAGATTGAAAACTTCATGTCATACGAGCCAATGTAACCCAACTTGGTGGAGGCCAAGAAAATAGCTTAGAATCTTCCAAATATTCTTCCAACGGCCCAAAAATGCCCTTTTCAAAATCAAAAACACCAATTTCATCACTTTTCCACTCAAAATCATCCAATTTATCCAAATCTCCCACTTTAATCTCGGAATAACATGAATTCTTATTGTCTAAGTTCTTAAAATGAAAGTATATGCAATTACCTTTGCAACCTTTTAAACCAATAGCGGAAAATGAAGAATGGTTGCTCAAAAAAATTGCATGCTCCTCTAAATCCTTAACCAAATCCCATTTTTGTTTCTCCTTGTCGAGTTTGAAAATCTCAACCCCGTGTACCTTTATCAATTTAGGAGTGATATCGGTATACAGGTCTACCATTAACAGGTCATCACCTACTTTTACCAGACATTTTTTATCTCCGCCAATAATAGAATTTTTTAGCAATGTTACTGTGACGGAAGAACCAATAACCTTAATGGCTACGGTCCTACCCGAGTTGGTAACAGCATAAAATGTACCATCGAACTCTACTACATCCACGTAGTGCAACGACCAATCGTTAACAAATATGCTCCGATCATCATAACCTAAAGTGTAATCATCCAAAAACGTCCATGATTCGATTTTGGACCGGTACATGAGTAACTTACCCGTGTTATGTGTACACAAAATAACGTAATCGTTAACATTATTAGAATTAAGGAAGGTAACAGCTACCTTTTGATGCTCCATGTTGTAGTAATCCATGTTTTCTGTACTAGGATTATTACTAACGTTACGTAACACATACTCACAACCCAACTCCTTGATTTTAATGTTGGTTAGATCCAACTTCCTAGGAAGATTTGGAGCTAACTGTTTGATGAGGGTCCTAGAGAAAGGATTGAACAAATGGACCGCCCCCGGGTTGTGCTCCTCGGTCTTGATGAGCCACCCGGGGCCATCATGGTCGTCGAAAGAGGGTGAAAGATGGGTAAATGTGTGTTTGGTGAGTCGGAGGTCACAATGATGGACGTTAGAGTTTAGGAATTTTATAGGAGGGAAAAATATGGGTAGTGTTTTGGGGATGGCAGACCGCCACGTGAAACAAACGGAACGGAAATGACGAGTGTCGGACGGGGTGTCAAAGCCGGTGGCAACGAGATCGAGGAGCTCCGGAGGGAGATCAGACCAATATGCCATGGCTTAATTAGCTAGGTAGAAGGTGTTTAGGGTTTTGGAAGTAGAAGGTGTGTATTGAGTTGAATAGAAATGTGCTTAAATTGTTGTAGTATTTAAATGGAATCAAGAAAATGTGACAGCCCACCTTTTGAGAAAATAATGCAAGTGTTTAATAATAATTAAATGATCAAAGCTAAAAAGGAGGGCGAATCTGAAGTAATAGTCAATAGTAGTACTAGCTAGTAGTATTGTCAACAATATTATGTCCTAACTTCCTAATCAATATTACGCAATTGCATGTAGAATAGGACAAAGGTTTTGATCCAATGCATATTTGAAAATTGTTTAGAAAGTGCAGTGGTCACTTTCCGAAATTAGCTAGGCAAAATCCTTTATACAACTATCACTTACGTTTAGTACGAGTTTTATTTCATTTTAGAAAAAATCATAGGGGTGTTTGGAAACCAGCTTTTTAGCTGGTTTTTGGCTTCTTCAAGTTGATCAAACATTCAAAAAATATGTTTGACTATTGGGTTTTTTAACTAGCTGAAAAGCTGGCTTTAAAGCCAGAAGCAAAAACCTGGTTGGAGCAGCTTTTGGCTTGTTGACATAATTAACTTTTGATTAATAATAATTAGTCATAATAAAAGATAATTAGTAATTAATATTTAATACTTAATAATAATTAAGTAATAATTAGTAATTAGAAATTAATAATTAATAATAATTACTCCCTTCGTCTCTAAAAGAACAACGCATTTGGGTTAATTTCGTGTGTATTAAGAAAGTTAAATAAAAATAAGTAAAAGTATATTGGAAAGATAAATTTACATGAGGTTTGTAAAAAAGTAGAGAGAGAAAGTAATAACTACATAGGGAAACAAAATTTTATATAGGAAAGCTAATTTTGCACAAATATTATTGCAAATTGGTGGGGATTTTAATGCTAATGGGTCATTCTTTTTTAGACTAAAATTAGGCCAAATTGGCCGTTCTTTCGGGGACGGATCGAGGTAGTAGTAATTATTAATTAATAATTAGTAATTAATAATTAGTAATTAGTAGTTAATAGTTACTCCCTCCGTCCCCGAAAGAACGACCCTTTTTTGGTTGATTTCGCGGGCATTAATTTTAAATTAAATAAAAAGAAGTAAAAGTATATTGGAAAGATAAATTTACACGGGGTTTACAAAAAAGTAAAGAGAGATAGTAATAAAAGTATATGGATCGGAAAAACAAAATTTTATATGGCGAATCTAATTTTGCACAAATATTATTGCAAATTGGTGGATATTTAATGTTAATGGGTCATTCTTTTTGGGACTAAAATTAGGCCAAATGGATCGTTCTTTCGGGGACGGAGGGAGTAATAGTTAATACTCCGTTAATAGTTTAAAGTTAAAAGTTAAAAGTTAATAGTTAATAGTTAATACTGTAGTTAATACTGTAATTAATAGTTAATACTATAGTTAATAGTTAATATATAGTTAATAGGTAGTAGTTAATAGTTAATAGTTAGTAGTTAATAGTTAATACTTCGTTCCTCCGTTTCTATTTAGTTGACGCGTTTGATTTAGGCACATATATTAAAGAGAGGAGAGAGTGAAAGAGAATGAAAAAGCAAGTAGGGTAGCTTGAAATGCTAGGTAAAAAATTTATCCTAAAAGGAAACGTGTCAACTAAAAAAAAAATCTTAAAAAGAAATGTGTCAACTAAAAAGAAACGGAGGCAGTAATTAATAATTGATAATTGATATTTGATAGTTAATAATTATTTTCTTTGAAACATAAATTATTACTAGTGTTTAATAATTAGTATTTAAAATATTAGTAATTAATAGTACATTATTATTGATAATTATCAATTTATAACTAATACAATTATTGTTAATATATAACCAATAATTAATTAATTTAAATTTATAATTAGTTATAAAAAAATTATTATCTATAATCAATAATTAATGTTAATAATTAGGAAAATTTGCAAATTGCAACCATTTAAAGTTCATATTTTGCAAAGTGCAGCCATTTATTTTTTTATTGCAAATTGCAGCCAAAAAGTTCGTATAAATTGTAAATTGCAGCCCGATTCAATTTTTTCATCGATTTACATGTTAAAAAAAATCTTTGGTTAAGGTTTTAGGGGTCATTTTAGTTCTTAGGGGCCGAATTGAGCTCGGAATTAGCAAAAAAAATAACGTAAGTGTCTCATATTTACAGTTTCCCACAAATCGATACATTTTTGTTGCGCAAAACAAGATACTTCGTTATTTTTTTGCTGATTCCGAGCTCAATTCAGACCCCTAAGGCCTAAAATGGCCCCTAAAACCTTAATCGAAGATTTTTCAACTTGTAAACCGATGAAAAAGTTAAATCGGGCTGCAATTTACAATTTATATGAACTTTTGGGCTGCAATTTGCAAAATACGAATTTTAAATGGCTGCAATTTGCAAATTTTCCTAATAATTACTAATTAGTGTTGTGTAGTTTAACAACAACTAGCACCCAACAAGCCAATTTACCAAACACTACAATTGTAGTCAAACAGCCAACTCAAAAGCCAATCTAAACAGCCAATTAAAACAGCTAACAGTCAATTGCCAAACATGACCATAGTCGATCTTTCCAATTATGTTGCAAAAAAAATTAACTTGGAACAACTAATTTTCTAAAGCTGAATTGAATCATATTTCGTAAATTAGCACAGATACAATGTATGTAATGTCATGTACTCTTTATTTCGTTCTTTCATTTTTTTTAATTAAACTTCAATTTAAACTGTCTTTAATATGTACAAGTAATATGGAATACAAGAAAAAAAATTATATGTGACCATGTTGGACTTGATGTTTAATGTATATTTGTAGTTTATAATATCAAATTTTGTAAATCTATGCTAATATACACCGTAAGATTTCATAAAATTTATACTAATGTATGAGAAGATAGATTCTCAAAAATAATGGCTCTTAAGTCATTCCGACGCACACTAAACTAGCTAAATCGACAAGATTCCTAACCTAATGCATAAATAAATAGAAAAAGTCCTTATGTAAAAATAGAGTAGAAGGTTGCAAGCTTGCAACCCAACTACGTAGTACGTACTAGGATTAGACTATTTAAGCGTATTAATTATAGTAATGTCATATGCTTCTTATCGATTCGGATTAAGTAGGACCTGTACTAATTAATGTTGTGAGTGGTTATATACTAAAGGCAAGGTAAAGGCTATACATACAATTGTTGTATGTGGTCCTTATATACAATCGGCAAACCTCTACGTACTATTCTACTTTCAGCAACTACTAATTAATCTAAAACTAAAAAAAATGTCTAAAACCACCAACCAAATGTTTATACTTGTTTTCTCAAATAAAAAAAAATATTTATACTTGTTAATCGAGATTAAATTGTCAGGATTTAGTGTTATATGCTTAGGCCGGATTAAGTGTTATATGATTATGCAATATGTATTACAGTTTAATTTTTACATTTGATAGCGTAAAGTTTAATAGTGAATATGATGCTAATTTATAAAAGTAAAACACATACTCAGCAAGTCTATTTTACCTTTAGTTTACGATAGATGTAACAATTTGACTTTTTGACTTTGTTAAAATACAACTTTGATCATTAATGTTTGTCTAGCTAGATTATCAATAAAAAATTTATAGAAAAAATATATATGTTGAAATATTTATTTAAAGTTTAAACCAATCCCACAACATCTTACGAATAGCATTATTTTTTTGTATAAAAAAAATAAAAATAAAAATAAAAATAAAAATTGTAGTAAGTGAATAATAATATAAAAGTCAAAAAACTTTGTACATAAAAGTTAAAATGATGCATATATTATAAATTAGAGGTATAAGTATTGAAATATAAAATTATTACTCGTATAAGCTTAAGGAGATTATCAAGTAGAAAACTCAATATAAGTAAAACTAAAAAACCAAAGAGATGAGTCCAGCATAGTAAGCTTCCATATGACTATTAATTAGGTCAAGATTTCTCCTGTGCCCATCTTTTTTTAATAAAATAGCAGTCTTCGCGGGCAAAGACTAGCTGCTGCTCATTCTAACCATTTTATTTGAATTCATTATTAATTTTGTCAACAAAAAAGAACTATAGTATATACTTTTCTAGCGTGGGTGAATAATACTGTGAAATTTCATTTTATAGTCAATAGTAAGGGTCTGCTCATATTTACTTATTTTCAGTTCAGTTCAGTTCAGCTCCAATCAGTTCAGTTCAGTTCAGTTCAGCTCTTAATTTCCCCCTCTTATAAAATATTCATTTCAGCTTAGTTCAGTTCCAATCAGTTCAGTAAATATGAACAGGCCCTAAATTACTCATAACTTATTTTGAAAAGTAATAAGACTTATAACCATAACTTATCAGTAAATATGAACAGGCCCTAAATTACTCATAACTTATTTTGAAAAGTAATAAGACTTATAACCATAACTTAAATAAATGGGAATTGAATGTTAGGGGAAGACCAATTACAAGTTTTGCAAAGAATGCCTATTATATTACATTTATTAATTAATTGCCATATTCCCTACAAATGTACTGTGATTCCTAACAAGAACGAGGTAATTTCATATTTATCGAGTAAGGAAACTATTTAATTCTTGATATGTTTGAACTTTGAAGTCACTAAGCATGTGTGCATTAGCATAATACGCTATAGAAGTAACGTTATGAGACAAGTAAATTGGGATGTAAAGAGTCCCTTGTGGGATTTTGATCACATGATCCTTAATTTCTTAGAAAGTTCTCGTAAAGAATTTTCTATTATCTCCTTTAATACGGAATAAGAAATTATTTCCTAATTTTTTTTCTTTTTATTTTTTTAATTTTTTTTTTACCCTTTAAAAATAAAAACAAAAACAAAAGACATACGAGTATACAATAATACAAATAGTTTTTTAGGGGAGCAACCGAATAATTGAAGGTCAAGATTCAATACCGACGCCTTTAGCTATCCATGTACTGTTAGTTGACTTGTTTTGTATTTTATTGCCATCCTATCCTATAATAAATACTTCGTACTACTTATATAGAGATTTCTTCAAATAAAAATAAATATATAGAGATGGGCTGGGCTTTAAATTGGATATCAAATTTACCAAAGCCTGGAACATTAGCATGCGTCTTATTAGCTTATAAAATCTTGGGCCAAGCACTAATCATGGAGACATACAAATAACCGGTAGCCATGTATTACAAACTTGCATGTTTTAGTCAAATTTAATACTTTCTCTGTTTCTTAAAAGATGCATTACTTTTAAATTTACGGACTCAAAACAGAGGAAGTACGTGCAATGTGTTCTTTACTTCTTTTGATTTATTCAACTTTTTTTTTAAGAATTTTGATTTATTCACGACTATATATGATACTTCTTTTTTTTTTAGTTGATAAATTTTATCTTTGAGCACTATTTACATAAGTTATTTTAGCTTTATTGATGTATGATCTATATTTGAGAATAAACAAGTATATATGCAAGGTCTTGTTAAGTTCATTTCAATTTATTGATTTTTTTAATAAAAAAAATAAATTCTTATGGATAATTGAAAATATTAAGGTTTAAATCATGCATTAGCAAACATTACAAAAGAAATGTCACAATTACTATGGAACGAGATGATTAAATATAGAAAATTAATAAATCCGCTGCTAAAAAAAATTATAGAAGATAAAAATAGATTGAAAATTAAGATGTCCATAGAAGGTGAAGTGAAAGTTTAAACAAACAAGACACTAATACATTATAATTTACTTTACAAAATTGACCCAAGAAGGAGGGGGCCAACAGAACTTTGAATTTTCAATGTTTTCTTCCAATGACTCAAACGTCCCCATCTCATAATTAAAAACACCAATTCCACCACTTTCTACGCCATCAATATCCTCTATATTCCCTTGCTTTTTCTCTGAAAAATCTCTTCCTAAATTATTCAAGAAAAAATATATGCAATTTTCCTTAAGACCATGCAAACTAGTGCTAGTAGTAGAAAATGAAGAGTAGTTGCTTAGAAATATCGAATGACCCCCTAAACATTTAAGCAAGACCCATTTTTTGTCCTCCTTATCCAATTTAAAAACATCGATTGCATAGACGTCACATGATCCTTTGTCTGAAGAGGTGTACAAGTCTACTAACAGTAAATCATCGCCTGATTTTACCAAATATTTTTTATTCCCTCCAATGATTGACTTTACCATTAAGTCGACCTCAACCAAAATCTCATCCTCGCCGCCATACTCAATGACAACAGTTCGACCTGAATCGGTCACAGCATAGAACTTCCCTTCATATTCCGCCACATCAACATATCTCATCGACATATCATAAACGAACTCGCTCGTATCATCAAACCCAAGGGCAAAATCGTCCAAAAGCGCCCATTCTTGGGTATTAGACCGGTACATTAACAATTTACCCGTGGAATTTTGAGTAGACAAAAGGACAAAAGAGTCATTTCCTCCAATAGTAGCAAACGCTACTTTCTCATACTCCATATTGTACAAATTCATCACTCGATCATTCCCGCTAATATTACGAAGAACATACTCGTGACCAATTTCAAAGGTGTTAACATTACTAAGGTCTAAAATGTTGTGATCTAAGGGTTTAATGGAATCGCTCTTCGAAAACGGGCTCAAGAGGCGTAACACCCCTGGCTTATGTTCCTCTGTCTTGATCACCCAACAAGAGTTGGGGTCAGACAAGAGAGAAATGATGTAGGTAGTTTGTCTGATGAGTCGAAGGTCAAAGTCGTGGGCTTTAGAGCCCAAGAATTTAATAGTTGGAGAGTAATAAAAATTGGCGGTTGGTTTGCCACGAACAGAAGAACGCCAATAAGAGCAAACGGAACGAAATTGGCGAGTGTTGGAGCAAGTGTTTGAGAGGTTAGAAATAAGCTCTAGGAGCTCTGAAGGGAGTTCCGACCAATCTGCCATTTTAAAAAAAAAAAAAACGGAGGAAGTATTTTTTTCGATGCTAGGAAAGAAAATAAGATGGAGATTTAAGACGGATAACCTAAATCATCATTGTGGATTTTATTTGAATTTTATAGTGAAGGTTGAGAACATATATATAGTAAGTTGGAGGAGAGTGTATGAATGGAGAATTGTAGATGTGAGAAATGATGGGACATTTGGGTGAGTACTTAAACAAATATATAGAGCTGATGTTCACAACTTCACAAGTAAGCAATTAGTTAGAAATTTCTACCAAATTTAATTTGGGATGGGTCAAGTCAATGTAGACAATAATGTTAGTTATATATTATACAAGTAATAATAGTCCATTTTTAGATGTAGTTTGGAAACTTTCAACTTTGTCAAAATCCTACTTCCTCCGTCCCTTAATCAAATTTCTAGTTCTAACATTTATTCCTCACATAATAGAGAGAAGTAGAAATCTAATTAAGGGACGGATAAAGTAATAGTGAGAATCTTAACTAGTTCACGATGAAAAAAAAAAAAACAAAACAAAACAAAAAAAATTGTGATATTTTAACTTAGCTATATAAAGATGACTTTCAATAAAACGTTCTGTAGCACAGTATTCAGAGACAAAAACTAGTAAGAACTTAATTTTAAACAATGATTAATATTATTTACTCATACAAATTATGCAATAAGACTAATTTTAACTAACTTATCAAATAGATAAACAACAAACTTTTATAGGAAAGACTCTACCACTTCGCCAAGGAAGTTAAACCAAATATCATGCCAAATATGATCACATCTCAAATTCTCAATCAATATAAAATAATTTATATTTTAGATTGATTAATTGACAGTAAAAGAAAATTCAGAGGCCCATATAAAGACTGAAAATTTGAAGTCAAGGAAGACTGGTACTAATTTAATTGCAAGCCATACCTTAATTTCCTTACGTTTAGAATTGAATTAAACATAATTTTGGTTTGAGCCTAGAATTTAATAAGATTATTTCGAGTAGTTGTTAGTTAAGTTTTGGTTTGATACCTTAAAATCTGAAATCCAATCATTACTTATTAGTTACTCTGTATTTCATATGTTCTTTCACTTCTTTAGTTCTTTGCGAGTATTGTGACTCCCTCTACACCACATAAAATGGTCATTAAATAACACTAGATATATATTTTTTTTATTCCTTATTTTTATACTTTTGCTCATTTCGCTGAATATGTAACACTTGCAATTGCCAAACTATCTTGAAGGGGCCGTGTATGAAGTAATTATGTACTCATAAAAACAAACATCTTTAAATAATAGGTGATACGACCCAATTTCAGTGAAATGGGTGAATATATGTGAGCCATGTGATTGTTAAAGTAAAACATTTGTTTGAAAATTGAAACACTAAATAGCATCTTCAAACACCATGTACTACATAATTCATACAATTTTAGTGGAACGGGTGAATAATAGTGTTTCTCGTGTATATATCTTAATTCTTAAGTGAAAGCCATATTATATTTCACAACAGTAAAACTGATATCACTCTACCACCAAAAAAAGGCACAATTATCAAAGTAGAATCAAGAAAAGAAAAGCTTGTGATGCCTCAGGAATCAGGACTTTAGGCAAAGTCAATTCATCTTTGAAAGAGAGAATGAAATTACCATGGCAAACACACTGAAACGGCCCCAATTTGCCTTTGTTTCAAGGCTATGCTTACTGATTAAGTGATTAGTATAGGATGGAAAATTCATTTCGTTTCTATGAATTTTCTTTGTTTAGTTAAATTTAGAGGATGCCTCATTTTCCTCCCCATTTCCTAATTTCTTTGTATATTTGCTTCGCTCATACAAAGAAAATTAAAGGTCTTATACAAAGTAAAATGAGAGTGACATCCATTAAAATATAATCTTCATAATGAAGAGTGTTAAGAGCCTACTATCCAACTCGAAATTTTCATGAGCTAGGCACAATAAAGCTCGACTCGAGAATCTCGTGAACTTGCTCAATACATAACTATAGAAACTAGAGCTAGGGGAAGGAAGATTGATAAATACAAATATTTTTGACTAGATCTTTCACACATTATTCGCACCACCTAAGTACATTGAGGATCATATGAGTTATTTCAAATTTATTCTCATAAACATAATATCAAGGCTCCAAAAAACAAGAGAGATCAGAGAGAGGGGTTCAGAGAATGTAAATGAGGATGTCGGGAAACTGGAATAGAATATGGATGCAAATTTTAGGCAAATTAAAAAAACAAAACGTGCATAACGTTTAATGGTCCTGTGTAAAATTGAACACATAATTGCATACTAGTAGACCAAAGACTGTTACTAAAGTTGATGGATTAGAATTACGAAAAATGATTTTCTAGTCTAGTCCAGATTAAAAAGACAGGATTTTGCTGGGTCCAAAAACAAACAAAAGAAAGAGCAGATTTTCGCATTGATGGGAAATGATAAGTATTCAGACCAGCATATTTGATACGAGTACTTGCTAGTAGTAGTGACTACTGACTAGTAAACCATCAAATCGCGAGTAAAATAACGTAACGCTATCAAGCTAAGGTTTGAAAGGAATCACATCCTATTCAATCATCCCTTTTTTCCCAAGCATTTACTCATGATTCTGGAAAATCTACCAATTTTTCCACGAAAATTCTTTCATGAGTATATAACAGCATAATGAGTATGTACTATTATAGTATAATACAATAAACATTTTGTTACAAGGGGAATCACATAGACTTAGCATCCACAATTTAAGCTCGAATGGAAGGCAAATTGGCAATAAAAACCTGTAAGCATTTTATTGATAATTTATTCAATTATATATGTACAATAATCGGTTACATACACAGTTCATTAATCTAGGAAACATGAAGAAGCCATTTTAGGCGAGGATGAAACGTCATGCAAATTTATTTCAGCTTGACAAAACAGGGGAGATATTGTAGCTTGAATGCTAAAGCCGTTCGGAAGATGACCACCTAGCCTCCGAACTTTCTTTCATCAAGAACATAAGTTCTCCTGTAAAAAAAATATGACATGACAATGGCTTGTAAATTCTACTGCAGAGTAAACAGTAGAAGAAAGACCATCAAGTACTCATGATTCACTATCAAGACTTATCACATTCCAAAGTACCGATAAGCTTTATTTATAGCCACTGTAGGTCCCTAATGTTTGTCTAAAACCAATCCTTTGACAAATTAGTGCCAATACACAGAACACAGCTGAGGCCACAACAATAAAAAGCTAGAAAGTCTGGACATCTTAGGTGCAAATTGAAATCTCATTTCAGGAAATTTGGGGGCGGGGGGAAGGGGAAAACATGCTTCACTATGAAGACCTGTCCATTCATGTTGAAACTGGTTTGGTCAGTCAGATAATTATATCTCAAAAAAATGGTCACCGAATCAAAAGAAAAAAAGGAAGTACAAAATTCACTCTATAATTTGGTAAATGGCCATATCTTATCTTAATCCTTTTACCCTATGAAGAGAAGAAGAGAGGAAGGGGCTTCTAGACAGATAAAAACCAAGTTTCTATCGAGCCTTCTCAAATTTAATTTCAATAAGCATTTAATTTCTGCTTGATTTTTTAGCTTGGTTTCTACTTGGTTCATGGTATTGCTTTGTTCTTTCTGCTTAAATTTTAGCTTGTCATAGATTTCATGTGCATTGACAAAACATTTGTAAAGAGATCATTTTGGATTTAAGCAATTGTCTAATCATGAGAGGTATCTGCTGTGATTTCTTGCACCTACGTGAAGATGATGGGATTGCTGAAAACCAAAAAGTATGCAATTCTTAAGAGCTTCAAATTCCTCAAACACTAATAGTCTTATGCTGTTAATGGAAAGACAGCAAGTTTCTAGTATTTGATCTGCGCCTTTGAATCTTAAAAACAAAAAACTTTTCTGTGATTGTAAACCTAAATTTTGCTGCTTGTGCAACTAAAAACTAAAATTATGTTAACAGCTAGAAAATTTAGTTCTTTTGTCCTGGAATTTGCACAAGGTACTAGAGGGCAATATATGTCAACACCTGTGGCGGGCTCTATACAAATTAAAGAATTCTAGCCAAAATACTGGGAGGTGTTGCGAGAAGCTCAAAAGATAGAAATTCCTAAGTAGTTCATCTACATAAGGAAAAATTTTGGAGGGAAACTTTGTATTGGATCAAGATAAGAAGGAAAAGGCCATTGAAACTTGAAGAAGATGTGTCCTATTGAAGGGTACTCTATAAAAGACCAGATTTATACCTGACACGGTAAGTGGTCAAGGCCTGTCCACAGATGTGGAGTTACCTTAAAGGTAGATAACGAAATAAGAGCATTGATGGGTGGCAGGGTGGGTTGTTTCGTCAGCACCACATAAATTCAATACCGGGAGCAGAGTGATATGTCTACTGAAATAAAAGTTCCAAAATCCAAAGTTTTGCTCTTGGATATGCTTAATTCATAAACATATAAGATTGACAGCCCAGTATATCTAAAGGTACTCAGTAGAATGGAAAATATTGCATGATATTCTTAAGATAGGGCATATTCCGCAAAAGACAGCCGTACAACAGGGAGAGAGAAAAAAAAAAGGAAATAATTGAATGAAATAAGCTGACTTTACAAAAACGCCATACCTTGTGAGCTCTAAGTACTAGTACTAAAGAAGGAAAACCTGAGTAAATCTAATACTCACTTTAATTACCTAAGTTCAAAATATGTTCCTTAACTCCTTTATAACCTAGGGTCAATATATATTTCTTTAATAACAAATAGTCAAAATATCTTTCTTTTACTGAGTACGACATAGTATAAAAAACAGTGTTACTTAATTTTTAATCCCATCAAAGTATCAAACTAGGAAAGGCAAATTAATACATTTCGACCTAATTCACAAAGCTAAGTGGCAAATTGTGTTCCTGTATCCAATCAAGTACTATCAAATTAATAACTGTAATCAAGCTCTTTATTTACAGACTTAGGTAAAAAATGCAAGGCCCAAATCTTTCCCTAAGAACTTCCAATCGGCTCACATTACACAATTACTGCCACCATCAAAATAGTGCATTCACCAGAAGCCTTACAGAAGCTATAGCAAAGCTTCACGCACACTTTAAAAACTAGTCTTTTAATATTTTAAGGTGATACATATAGGAAATTGATATTGCTTATCAAACAATGTCGATCGAATTTGAGCGAAGGGGGAAAGTACTAACGAATTAAGGTGCATCTGGCATAATGTCAGTATGTATTCATCTTTTATAGCTAACAAAGTCAAAACAACAGCAATTGCTGCAGACAAAAAGAAAGAACTACTTCCGCAAAAAGAACTCCATAGTCTACCATCACTAAGCATTGCAGGTCTGCAGGAATACAACAGCAGAAACTTCATAGATATCACATAAGCCAATCACATAAAAAAAACCTCAACTTCTATACTGTAGAGGTTGCAGATAAACTAATCACATAGAATAACCCCAACTCAGCACTTTCCACTTGCATCATTGAAGAGGATTGATAGAAACTTGTGAATTGCAAAATTTGGTTTCACATAGCACATCATGGAGGGAATTTCAAAAGGGGCAATAGAAATTAAAGCATATAATGCACCAAGCTACATAAGCAAAACAGCCTTCATCAACAAATATTACATGAAACACGTACCTCTCCGGAAGGCTAAGCAATCCAAGGCGGAGGAGGCCAAAACAGGTCCGAATAAGTGATGCTAGCATCCTCCAAATTATACACACCACCACTATGAAACTTGAAGACATCATCTTTGTCGAAATGTGATGGGTATATATCGTGTGGGAAGGAAAAATATATGCAATTCCCCTTATGACACAACAAATCAGCAGCAGTTGCTGAAAATCCAGAATGCATACCCAAAAACAAGATATAGTTTCCCAAATCTTTAACCTCAATCCACCGCATCTTTTTCCTATCCAACCTATAGACCTTGAACCACTTAGACTTTGAGGTGACATATCCATCGAAATTTTCCATATCATGAGCAAACTCCCATGGAGGAAGACCCATATATACATCCACCAATATCAACTCATCACCAACTTCTACTAAACGCTTCTTATCACCCCCACCAAAAGATGTTGCCAATAAAATCGTGGTATTATCAACAGCATCACATCCAATCAAAACAATCCTCCCAGTATAATCAACAGCATAAAACTCCCCATTGAAGGCAATAATATCATCATAAGGTACGTCTATTTTATCAGATACAATATGCCATATATTATTAACAGAATTATACAATGCTAATTTCCCAGAAACATGAATAGTCAATAGAAAAAAATCATCATCATTTATTCCTGGTAAAATTGCAACCTTTTCTATAAGCAAATTCAGAAAATTACCCCTAAAGCAAATTTTATCGGTATAACGAAGGAAATACTCACAACCCAGTTCACGAATTCGAATGTTCGAGAGATCCATGACTCTTGGGAAATCTTCAGGTAGAGGATCGATCTGGGTCCACGAAAGAGGGAAGAAAATGTGAAAAAAATTAGGGTTTTGTTCTTCGATTTTGATGACCCATGAATAGGGATTGTCATTGTGGGGTAATTCAGAAATGGGGGTTTCGGAAGGAGAGAGAACGAATATGGATCGTTTGGAGAGGGAAATGCCATGGGAAGGGAGAGAGAAGGGGGTTTGTGGGCCGTTGGATTTGAGCTTGGATGGTGATGATTGGCGCCACGTGGAGCATACGGCGCGGAAACGGAGGGCGTCAATTGGAGAATCGAGGCGGGTTAAGATTTCATCGAGGAGTTCTCTGGGAAGATCAGACCAGTCCGCCATTGATGCTCTGTTTGGAGAATTGGAGGTGCGAGAAGGAGATATTAGGAGAAGTGCAAATGGAGGAAATATTCAACGGGAAATACTAAATGCAGGCATAATTTTACCTAAATGCAGAATAAATTATTTTTAAAAAAAAATTATATTTCATATTTGTCCTTGTTTTAATTTTATCCCTTACACTTTTTTTTAAGGATTAAAATTAACTCAATTGCTAAACATCGCCCGCGAATCTCCACATAAAGCCCACAAAATTAGAGTGAATTGTCACTTTTGCCCTCAAAGTAAAAAACACAATTTCTTCTCTCAATTCTCTACTTCCACTTTCTCTCTCTAAAAAACTTTCCGAGCGATGTCGAGGCGGCCCGGCAAGGAAGTGGCGGCACAGGCGGCGGGTGGACAGCGGTTTTCCGGCGAGAAGGTATTTTTTATTAATTTTGTGTTTAAAAATTAAAAAAAAAAAGGTCGGAGGCGGTGGTGGCGCCTAGGCCAGACGCCACCACCACAGCGGCGGCGTCTAGCCCAGACGCCACTACCACGGCGGCGGCGCCTAGGCCAGACGTCGTGACGGTGGCGGTGGCGTCTGGCCCAGGCGCCAGAACCACGGCACCGGCGTCTGGCCTAGGCGCCGCCGCCGTGGTAGTGGCGTCTGGGCTAGACGCCGCCGCCACCGTCACGGCGTCTGGCCTAGGCGCCGCCGCCTTTTTATTTTTTTTTTTTAATTTTTTTTTGGTTTTAAATTTGAAATTTAATTTTCGAAAATAATTATTTTTTTTTTATTTTTTTTTAAATTTGTTTTTCTTTTTTTTAATTTTAAATTTTATGTTTCTGATTTTTTTTTTATTTTGTTTTAAATTTTGTTGGTTTTTTTTAAAAAAATTTTATGTTCCTCTTTTTTTTTTTTTAATTTTTAATTTTATGTTCTTGTTTATTGTTCTTGTTTTTTTTTTTTTTTGAATTAGTTTTTTTACTTAAAAAAAATTTTATGTTCCCTTTTTTTTGTTATAAATTTTTTTTAAAATTTTGATGTTCTTCTTTTTTTAAGTTTTTATAATTTTATATTTTTCACTTTGTTTTTTCCAATTTGTTTTTTTTGGGTAATTTTTTTTTTTGCTTTGTTTTTTCCAATTTTTTATTTATTTATTTATTAGGTTATTAATTTTTTTATTTTTAGGTTGTTAATATTTTGTAATGTTTTTAATTTATTTTCCATCATATGTATATTGTTTTATTTATTTATTTTAATTACTTTTTTTATGTTTATATTACATGTTTATATTGCATATTACATGTTTTGTTATTTTGTGTTAGGCATCGTATTTTCGTTCTGGGGCTGGGAAGAGTATGGACATTATGAGAAGTACGATGAACTCAATGGAGAGCTCGGGGCCCAGACACGTTAGATCCCGTGGTATTTCGGCCTCGGCTCGTAGAGAACGGGTGCACTATTCTGAGGATGATGAAGATGATGATGGTGATGAGGAGGAGGAGGAGGAGGATGCAGATGAGGATGTGGACGATCAGAGTGGACCATATGATGATTACGGTCCATTCAGTCAGAGGCTTGATGATGTGTATGAGACGCGTAGGGTAGACGTGCGTAAGGGTAGAGATGGTAGATTTGTTAGTAGATCTGGCACATCATCTGCGTCCACTGTGTCTGCGGTTAGCAGAAAACGGTCGAGGGCCGTTAATGATTCTTGGGTGGTGAGGGGCGAGGTGGCTGGGGGACCTATAGACGGGAGTGTGATTCCTAGCTTTCTAGGACACATCGCTACCCGTATTTGGGAGGACCAAGAGCGGGCTTTGGATAGCGGCATTTTGAAATGCCAAACCCGGGAGAGGACTTGTAACTTCTTGTGTAGTTGGGCTGAGGCTTGGCCGGAGGAGAGCGAGATGGTCGGCCGATTGAGGGCCACTAGAGTGAGCCACCTTCCTGCCACCATGCATGAGAGGATTGACTCGACGCTGATCACGGCTTTCGTTGAGCGATGGCAGCCGGACACGAACTCTTTCCACCTTCCGTTCGGTGAGATGACGATCATGTTGCATGACGTCGAGGCCATCCTTGGGATTCCCGTAGAGGGAAACCGAGCATCTGTTGTCACAGATGCGGATCAGGCAGATTTATTGGCGGAGCTGTTGGCGGTGGATAGGGTTGCGCTGTACACAGCGGCACTTGGTGTGTGGGATCACGGCGGTGTTAAGATCGCAGCAGTTTTGCAGCGATGTTTGCACCCCACTTCACGTAGGACGCAGGACACACAGCTGGCTGCATATGTTTTTCTTCTTCTCGGGTGTACCTTGTTTCCGGATAAGAGCGGAAACAAGCTCAGGCCACGCGACATAGTTGACGCGTGTGAGCCCGACAGAGTAGGCCAGTTTTCTTGGGGGTCGGCTACATTAGCGTACATGTATCGCCAGTTAGGATTCTCGAGCCGGGCTGATGCGGCAGGTATCACTGGATGTATGACGTTGTTACAGACGTGGATATACGAGTATTTCCCGGCGTTTCGACCACACCGCGACCCGGTTCCTATTGGGGATGGCCAGCCACGTGCCTGTGCGTGGAGTCCAGGAACGGCATCATGATGTTAGGGATCCTGTCTTTATATGGAAAATGTTCAATGTCCATTCTGCCTGTTGCACACATCAAAAAACACAATTAACAAGTTAGCAGAAAACTAAACAAACACTCTAAAAAGTAAATTAAACTAAAGTACCGTACCGGTGCCGGGCATATTCACCGACGAAGATGTTTGACTACCACTTGATGACGATGTACGACCACGGCCACGACCACGACCACGACCACGAATGTACTCAAACGCACTCCTTTCCCGCCGTGGTTGTCGGCCCCGTGGTCGCTCGACCCCCTCAGGTTCCTCATGATCCAAGCACGACGAGTTGAACATGTCATGAAGTACGTGGGTAGCACTACGAATGACTGAAGGGTGGCTGGAGGACACTTGGTCAAACATCGAACGAAACTGCTCCAACTCCTCCTGTTCACGGTTGACTGTCTGTGGAACAGCATGCTCTCCGATAACGAGCGTCCGCCAGAATGGATGAACCTGATCAACATGTAACGACGCCCTATCTTGCGTAATTACGCGGTGAATGGTGCATGCACAAGGTAGTCCATGAGTCACCGATATAGCACATCCGCACCGAATAGCCACTTCATCACCCAACTCCCTCATCCTGGTGTGCTCGCTCAGAATCAACCCCAAGCAGTAGTGTGACACACGACCATGGAGAATCTTAAATATGAAATGGCTATACATCGTGCCATGTCGCCGTCTGGAGTCCTCGAGAGAGTTCTTGATGCCGTTCCTCTGAGTATCAATAGCCTTGTTTATTCTCTCGAACAGTGTATCCAGAGCAGAGGTGGAAGAATCAATCCAGTCCTTCAGAGCTCTATGAGCGCTCTCAACTCTACATGTAGTAGTGTTTCCAAAATGAAGAACTTGGTTTGTCCAATATTTGACAAACTTTTCCCTCTGAGGCACCCACTGCTGCATCACATAGTCTACGATTGCCGGGCACCATTGGTATGCATCCTTGAAGTTATCCAAGGCTCGGTCGTACTCTGCCTCCGTGGTAGCTTGCAGGATCTTCCGCCACTTACCATTTACCAATCTCTCTGCTGAATCTAAGTTCTTGTTGAAAAGGTTGTAGGCTTTGACTTTCACGCATTTGTTGATGTGCCATGTGCACAGTAAATGGCTCGACTCCGGAAACAGCTCCGCTATAGGGGCAAAGAGACCTCCCTCACAATCGCTGACGATGGCCGATGGCTGAACACTTGGGCCGATGTAATTTCTCAACTTCTCCAACACCCAACGGTAACTCGCAACCGTCTCATCCTTCATAACTGCATAACCAATCAAAAAGTTCTGGTTCGTTGGAGTCATCCCAACCATCTCAACCAGTGGAAACTTATACTTGTTTGTCTTGTACGTTGAATCGATCAGAATCACAGATGGCCAAGACGAAATCATATCAGCACAATCAGGATGCACAAGGAACAAATGAGTCACCTCCGATGTGTCTTCATCAGATTCAAACCAGTACAGGTAACCACGTGCTTGTGCCTGGTGTAGAAGCTGCTGTATAGGGTTCCTTCCCTCTGACCGTTCAAACCTCAATTTATGTCTGACGTTGTAGATGTGTCTTCGGTTTGGCTGGTCTTCAGGAAATTTCTCCAACACAGATGCTAATATTTTAGCAGGCTTCACTTGAGCATCACTCATTTCTTTTACAATTAGTTTCGCAGCAGGACTTAGGCCACTTAACTGTCGATGACCCACTTCATATGCGATCATCTCATGGTTGTGATACCCCCATTTACCGTAACTCTTCACTTCCCAACCGTCACCCCTTTGCTGTTGTCGAACCTTTACTCTGAACTGACACCCACAACCTTTCCGCTTTGTATCAAACCGAATCGCTTGACTGAAATCTCGTTCCTCCCTTTTGCGATAACGGTCGCATCTCAAAATGCGATCCATTCTACCATCCCGTTGAGATTTATGAGTTGCTACTACTAAACAAAAACCTGATCTAATTGCAACCTGTTTCGCCCAATCAACCGCTTGTTGAGCATCTTCGAACAGACCATCGTGTACAAAAATCCCACTATAATCATTTCCGTCTCCACCATAATCCTGCAACAATAACATATAAATATAATCACATAAGAGTAGATTAAATTAATACATTTGACACAACATTAGCACAAAAGCAAAAACAATAATAAATTATAAACAACAAACAAAGAAATAAACAAAAAGTATTCAAAAAAAAAAAAAAACAAAACACAAAAATAAAAAACATAAACAAAACTTTAGATTAAATAAATAAAAATAAACCAAAAAAATAAAAACAAAAAAAAAACATAAAACGAAAAAAATTGTAAAAAAAAAAATAAAAAATAAATAAATTAAAAACAAAAACAAATTAAAACAATTAAAAACAAAACAAAAAAAAAACCAAAAAAAAAGAAAAAAATTGTAACACAAAAAAAAAAAAAAAAAACAAATTTTAAATTAAATTAAAAAAAAAAATAAAAAAATAGTGGTGGCGCCTAGCCAGGACGCCGCCACCG